TGTGGTGGCGCCTTAGGGAGGGCAAGTCCCTTTGGGCCCATTACCTCCTGATGAAATATTGCCCTGGTGGCGCTTCTCATCCCTGCAGGGTGACAGCCACCGCTCGGGATAGTCGTCAGTGGAGACGGCTCACCATTGTTGGCAGGCGTGCTCAGGAGCACATTTTTTGGACCTTGGGCTCTGAGGAGGTTAGCTTCTGGGATGAGTGGTGGTTCGGCGAGGCCAGAGTACTAGGCTTGTCACTCACCTGCCTTCCATGCAGATGAAAGACCTTTGGACGGGAGGGTTTTGGGATAGAGATAAGATGGAGGATATCTTGGTGAGGGTGGGGGTTTTAGTAGTCTAGAGATTGAACAGATCCGACAGATTCCCAATTTGGTGGGAGGTTTGGATGGTATGAGGTGGAGACTTACATCTTTGGGTGCATTCTCTACGTTATCAGCCTGTGGAGATGTGAGGCTGGGCAACCAGCCAAACCGCCTCTTCGGGGCCATATGGACCGACCTTCTCACCCCGACCATTTCCGTCTTTTTGTGGCGCCTCCTATGCATTCCCATTGACACTGTGATGCAGGTGAGAGGGTTTTCCTTTCCCTCCCGCTGCCATTGTTGTGCTGAGACTGGTACCTTTGAGATCGAGACTTTCACCCATCTTTTCCTTGAGAGTGAGACTGTGAGGAGAGTGTGGGAGCATTATGCCAGATATACTTATATACCCTACCCACTACAGACAATTTTTTTGAGCTTTTGAGTTTTTTCTCACACCGCACACAGAGTAGACACGTGGACTTCCTTATTCCTTGTCTGATCCTTTGGGCCACCTGGACAGAAAAGAATAATGCGAAGCATAGGGATATTATTTTTTCTTGTGCTCACATTATTTTGCAGGTTGACAGACACCTCTCACTTCACCGCCCTGAGTAGACTCACGACGAGGGACTAGACATGGTGTACACCGCCTCATCGTTTGAGGCCACCACCTCCTTTACCTGTCCAACATCCACGACCCAGGACCGTTGTTTGGCTGAAACCCAAGGCCCTTTGGGTTAAGCTAAAC